ATCTTGAAAACACTGCAAGCGGCGAAGTTGTGGTGAATGCAAGTATAGTTCCAGTCAAAATTTCAGTACTGTGGTGAGTTGTTATTTTCTTACGTATATATATTTCATTGTAATTTATATAAGGCTATATGTGATTTGTTGATAAGTAGCATCCACTAATAAAAAATATCAGTAAAATACTTAATTGCAAATTATAATCTCAAATTTGTATCCCATTCATCAGTACCGTGTCGTCAGTTCCATGTTCGATGTTTCGGTTATCTTTTTTTCGCAAACTTCAATTTAAATTGTTTATTTAATGTCATTATGTTTTCTTATAAATTTGGTGTGGGTCCCATATCTCATAATTGAGATATCGCTATACCCAAAATCCACCAGCCGCCACTGATGTGTGGTATTATTTGATTGATATTGAATGTATAATATGCTCAAAGTTGCAATAAATCTTATATTTTCCAATAAATTATGTATCTAATTAGTTCCCTGGTATACTAGTCACTTCCCTTGCATTCAAATTTAGAAAACACAGATATTTCAGAAACTGTTTGAAAAAGTGACAGGCCCGGTCTGAAACAGCATATTTATTATATTATCTATGTTCTCATAACAAAATACTGTTTAATTTTCTCCGATAACTATATAAACAAAATGAGGTCAAATTTTGACCAACTTTTGTAGAATCACCCATACCTTAAAATAGTGTACGAAGTTAGAAGTATCCGAATAAAGATACTATCACTGGTTTTTAAACTAAAATTAGGGAATACAGTAAAGTAGGGTAAACTTACGAAATACATCAGTACATGTTGTAGTTGTACTCATAATTATATTTTACCAAATTTCTTTATAATTTAATGATTTCGGAATGTTGCATTATTTAATTGTGTGTACAAAATTCTTTTCATTTAAGTTCCCCAATGTCCAACAAATACTGGGTTACTGGGTTTGTAAAAATAAGGTGAATATTACAAGAATAGTGGTTAAATTATTGACAGAATTCTGTTATTAAATCTACAAAATGTTTGTTATAATTACAAACTAATCATTCAATAAGTTAACAGATTACAGTTGGTTGTAAACAACATAAAGTTATGTGGACCTGGATTAACCTAAAATTTGGTTAGTATTTGGTTAAAATTAACAAATATTTTTTTACTGTGTAGCAAAATATTTTTATCAGAATATTGAACATATTGAAACAAATATAAAAAATCTGCAACAAAGGCCATGCCGCACAATAACAATCTCTTTTTTCCTCCTACTTCATCATGCACTTTCCCTGATACATTTTTTATTCATCGTTCATTTTCATTTATGATCCAATTTCCGCGTATGAACAAGGGGTGCTGCTACATTATCGCGCATTTGTGACAATGACTGCATTTTTCCTAAAGTACTTTTTCCCCCATCGGTGTTGTATATCATCATCTCTATTGACGGCGTATGCTTTGTGTCATGATCCCCACATTGTTGTACATAATTTTAATATATGCTTCAGGTATTTTTAAACACTTTTGTTTACAGGTTTAAACGCATGGGTTTTTTGCCAAAACAATAAAACTTTAGAGGATTCAATTACCGAGGGTTTGGTCAAATAATTTTGCACAATGAGTTCATTTTATACGAAATGTTATAAAAATCAGATTTGTTAACATGAGTTTGTAGTTTGTTAATTTTATTTTGCACAATTTCAAAGGTTACAGATTATTTTGTTAATGTGTGACAAATTATTTTGTTGAAAAGTACACGTGATTTCAGGCAGTCAATCAAAACATTTCCCACTGACAATACGCATCAACAAGTTCGACTTCAGCGCCTACAACTTATGTTTCTGCTTATTTAATTCTAATTCGTAACGTGTTCGTAAAAACTATCAAGTGTTTATTATATATTAATAATTACCAGAAATCTGTTATTATTGTTTTTCCTTATACCTATTTTACGAGAGAAAAAAGATGCCATCACTGGTTTTCAAACTGAAATTGGGGATACACCGAAATGGGTTAAAGTTACAAAATACATCAGCAAGTTTTGTAGTAGTACCTACTAATAATTATATTGTACCAACTTTATTTATAATTTGATGATTTCAGAATGGTGTATTATTTAATTGTGTGTAGGGTAAACCACATAGTTATTGGACAGTTTTTGTTTTAAAGATTTTAGTTGTTTTCCTATATATATATATATATATATAAAAAGGATAATTTGTTAGTTTAAAACTTTATTTACGTTTACTTAAAAATAAGAATAATTCAATTTTTAATAATAGTTTTATAAAAACTACAATTTTTATATAAACACAACAACTTTACATCAAATAACAAAAATTGTTAAATATTTTCTAAAGATAAATTGCTGTTTTAGGTAATTTTTTTTTATTTCGTTTTTGTAAATATCATATAATTCATATATTTCTTTCTCGGATTGCTCATCCCTTTTCTGGATTCTAAAGGTAACTACTAATTCCTTGGTCTGACTTCTGAAATAGTTTGTTGCAAATATCATTAAGTGTGGTATCTCTATAGAGATACCACACTTAATGATATTTGCAACAAACTATAGTTTGTGAAGCATTTATAATGTTTAAGTCGGAACAGGATGATTTATAATATAAATCTTGCAGAATAACAGTGATTTAAATACAGTGCATGATAGAGAACATACTAATGGCAACAAAATTAATAAATTCGGAAAATACTTTTAACATACCACCCGAAAATATTATATATCTAATATTTTTCGGGTGGTATGTTAAAAGTATTTTCCGAATTTATTAATTTTGTTGCCATTAGTATGTTCTCTATCATGCACTGTATTTAAATCACTGTTATTCTGCAAGATGTCCTGTGACGAAGAAATCACTATACTACTTACTCTCTAAAAATGAATTATTCAAAAATGTCATAGCGAAAAAGCAGCCACTAATAATTCTCGTCAACAGCAATTTGTATCCAGGACATTTAGCAGTCAATTCCTATGAAATATTATTCGCTGAATCCGAAAATGTCGTCAAAAGTTGTAAAAGTAGAACAGTTTTTGAAATACATCAATTTTATATATAACATGGAATTGACTATATCTCAAAAACTGCTTAACTTTTATAGTTTTTGACGGTCTTTTCGGATTCAGGGGACAATTTTACATAAGAATTGGCTGGTAAATGTCCGGGATATAAAAAGAGTATGATATTGGACATATGTCCAATAATAGAAATTTACATTTTTTACCAACCAGTAATTGGACACTGGCCATTTTACTGTTTGTTTTCAGAATTAAAATTAAAACGCATTAAAGTGACAATGTTTAAACCATGAGGAACACATTTATACCACACACTGATCTGTACACTTTTTAGAAATATTTTTCATTGTAATTTAAACACAGCCCTGCTCTTAACAAAAAACAAAAATCTTACCACCAAAGTAACGTGCGAACTTTTTTGTCCTATATTATACCCAAAATAAAGTAGTTCTATATTATTACCGAGAGATAGTTATAATTGTATACAACGTCATCTAATGATTTGACTTTAAGGTAACTATTTATAGAACTCTTGTTTTTGCAGTATTAATATTAATTGTCCAATAACTATAAAGTGTCCGATAACTGTCTACTTTACTTTATAGGATTTTGTTATTCAATCAACAAAATGTTTGTTATAATTAGTATCTACTTATTCAATTAGTTAACAGATTACAGTTGGTTGTAAACATAAAATAAAGTTATGTGGATCTGGATAAACATAAAATCTGGTTAATACACTCACAGGCAAAATAATCGATCCACACAAATATTCGATGAATTTCAATCGCAAATAACTTTTTTATTTGATTTCGGATTTAAACAAATATTAAAGAATATTGTAGATACATTAATGGAGAATCGCTCACATTTTAAAAAATACTAAAAAATACACGTACTTTTATAATATACAGGTTTAAACAAAAAGATGTTTTTTATCATAAGTTTAAGACACTCTGTAGAGTAGCAAAACCTTATATTGTTCTAAATTAAGTTTTAATTATCAAGTCACATCTACTTTTAACAGTTTTGTTTTTGCTTGATATATTTATTTTTGTGGAATATGGATTTTTAAAAAAAAACATTGCAATTTCCAATATTTTTCCTGTATAAAGAACTAAGGTTGCTATGGTCCATCCATAGCCTATGGAGGATGACAGTGACAGTTTTGTTGAATCATCCCATACTCATACTTGGACATGCCATATACGGCTTTCAAAAGCTATCAAATTGTTTTTTCTAAATTATTGTGTTAATTTTGAGGTGTCTTCTTACTTTTACAAATGTCTCCGACTGATGTTGCCCTTAGTACTTTACTTCTTGTGACGTTTAAAACACTTGCCACGTAATACTGTGACCGTCCATCCTGGATTAAATTAATGGCTCTGGCAACATCAGTCGGAGACATATCCATTTTTTAGTAAGTAAGTAAGAAGACACCTCAAAATTTAAACATTAATTTGCAAAAAACAATTTGATAGCTTTTAAAAGCCGTGTATGACATGTCCAAGTATGGGATGATTCAACAAAACCGTCACTGTCATTCTCCATAGCCTATGGATGGACCATAGCAACCTTAGTTCTTCATACAGAAAAATATTGGAAATTGTTTTTCTTAAAAATCCATATTTTCCACAAAAATAAATATATCGAGGTGAACCAAAAACAAAACTGTTAAAAATAGATGTGACTTAATAAATAAATAATTTAGAACAATATACGGTTTTGCCACTCTACAGAGTGTCGTAAACTTATGGTAAAAAATATCTTTTTGTTTAAACCTGTATATTATAAACGTACGTCTATATTTAAGTATTTTTAATATTCGTTTAAATCCGACATCAAATAAAAAAGTTATTAGCGATTGAAATTAATCGAAAATTTGTGTGGATCGATTATTTTGCCTGTGAGTGTACTTGGTTAAAATTAACAAATATTTTTTTACTGTGTAATCATAATAATTATATCCAAAATACCTAAATTATATTTCCAGAAGTCCTTTGTTGGTAGGTTTCCATTTCTCCCTCCCAGAAGGTAGACATGGTCTCCTATGACGGTGGCACTGTGCTTTGATCTTGCCGACGGCGCCGCGCTTTTGACGTCGTCAGGCGCCACGGCGCTCCACATCTCATATGGACGTCACCTTACTCGACCCCCAAACGCGTAATACACTTCCACGATCCTTCGCAATGTCTCTGGAAAAGATAAACAAGAGCATACATTTTTGTTTTATGGTTACTGAGCAAATAAATGTGACCTAGGGCAAGGATATCGGCCTTAGCAACAAGAAAATTGCTACAAAAAGTAAATAGTTGTGTCGAAATTGTATTCTCTGTTTCTGTATCACATATGTTTTTAAAAGATACCTTATAGGTACACAACAAATTACGTCGTCAATAATTAAAATTATTGTGGTTATATGCTTGATAATAATAATAATATATATACGTATAATAGGCAAACTCTATAAATAAATTCTATTTCAATTTTTTATGTGTAAATCGGAATGTATCTCTTGAAAATGGTCTAACCACCCGTTAAATTCCATATAGAAGCAGTTTTTCATAATGAAAATGAAGATAATGTTTTATGGTAGAGTCTCCACCCGAAATTTTGAACGGTTAATCAGTTAAATCTAGTTTACTGCCGGCAAAATCAAAAGGTCAGTACAAGTGCATTTAAACTTTTCAAATATTGGCGTTAAAAACTATTTAAAACTTTGTTTTTTTTTGTATTGAGATAATAAAATAATTTTCACTATTCGTATACGAATAGTGAAAATTATATAATATATTATTTCACAAGATTTTAACGATTGTATGACATTTGACAACTGTCAACCAACTTAAAACTAACTTTAGCCCGTAACTAAAAACCTGTTGCTAACTTCAGCCCATGACTAAAACGCCATAAAGCCATAACTTGTCACCCAAGTAACATTTTTAGTTTTATTATGGTCTTCAAGAACGCTTTAAAACAAAAAATAAATTCCTTTATTAAAACGCTTTACTCTTATAGACCTCCTGAAGATATCCTCGCAACCTTAATAAGCTAAAAAAGGCGCATCTTATTAAGGTTCTCGCATCTCCTATTTTAAAACCAAAAAATATTTTTAAAAATTAGCCTAGAGTAGTCTTAAAGGTAACTTAAAAAGTCAAAATAGGTTTAAAGCTTACTTAAAGAAAGCTTTAAGACTACAACAAAACCAATTAGTTTTAAGATATACTTTTAAATGACCACATTAAAACCAGGTTTTTTGGTATAAGTCTACGAAGACTTAAAAAGGTACTCAGGGCTTCTATAAAACTTATGTGAAGATAATATTAAATCCTTTTTAAGACAAAATTTAATGCAATAAGAGGAACTACACTTAAAGATGGATTATATTGGTTTTAATAATTATAGTATAATGTATACTTATTTTATTAATGTCTTATGCAGGTATTATAATATATTATATTTGTATGACCTTAAGTTATTGTCTACGACGATCTGTTGTTTAAGATTTATAATATAATATTATGTTAGTTATTATATTTAATAGTACGAGTATTAGTCTGGCCAAAATATTAAACGCAATTTTTTTTATTGACTAAACACTATAAAATAGCTTCAAAATATACATGCGCTTTACAGTTAACGTAAATTAAAAAAACAAAAACATTTTTATTATTATTTATTTTATTATATATTTTAAGCTGATTCCGTTACATGCACTGTGGGATAAAATAGTTTTAATATGTTTTGCGATAGAAACAAAATTACTAAAACAAACTTTGACCCGATAATAAAAATTTAACAACTCAGATATCTTGGGTGTATATATCGATGGGTTTAAGGCAAAACGGCACAAGCGCCAAACTTTTCGAAAATTTGTAGGAAGTACAGGTCGATAGAGAATTAAATTCTCTATCGACCTGTACTTCAACAAATTTTCGAAAATTTTGGCGCTTGTGCCGTTTTGCCTTAAACCCATCGATATATATATATATATATAACCGGATGGTCGTTACATGCGGTTGTTGTTTAGTGTTGAATACAAGGTCATTTTTTTAAATATACCTAAAAGCTATATAGGAATAGTTCGTTATAACCGCGTTGTCGTCATATACGGTTGTTGTATAGGGTTTTATATAAAGTAAGATTGTTTTAATATACTTAAAATCTATAAATATGGATTTTTGGTGTATATTAAAACAATCTTACCCTATATTAAACCCCATCAACAACCTAATATAACGAACTATTTATATATAAATTTTAGGTATATTAAAACCAACTAACCTTATATTAGTGACCAACACCAACAACCGGATATAACGACCACCCGGTTATAACGAATTATTTATATTTAGATTTTAGGTAGGTATATTAAAACAATCTGACATTATATTAAACTCTAAACAACCGGATATAACGACCACCCGGTTATAACGAACTATTCATATTTAGATTTTAGGTATGTTAAAAAAATATAGATTTAAGGTATATTATAATAAACTAACCTTATATTGAACATAAAACAACAACCGGATATAACGACCATCCGTTTATAACAAACCATTTATATTTAGATTTTAGGTATATTAAAACAATCTGACATTATAATAAACACTAAACAACCGGATATAACGAGCACCCGGTTATAACGATCTATTCATATATAGATTGTAGCCTACATATAATATAAGGTTAGTTTATTTTATTATAGGTACCTACAATTTGTAGGTATATTAAAATAAACTAACCTTAGTTAGTTTAAGTTGACTTTAGATTTTATATATTTCTATTTTGAACATACATACATGTAAATATTTTAGTATGTTCAAAACAAAAGTCTATAAATTCTAAAATCAACAAAAACGAATTTTGACTCGATATTAAACACTAGCTAAAAATAATGACAATTGCCATTAAGTTTCATTAAGGTCATGGTAAGTTTCTCCACATTAATAAAATTATCTAAAACTAATAAAAATATTAGGTATAATAGATATCTTATACCTGGTATTATAATAGGTATATTTTACCTAGTATAACACAACCATCTGAAAACCTAGTGAATTTTTAATAAATAAAATATTTCCTATAATAAAAATATTTTATTCCACCGTGCAACATATTCGGCCATTTTAATCTACTAAAATAATAGTAATTGATAAAACCAAAACTGTCAATAATAAAACCATTAGACTTTATTTCCTACCTGAGAAGAGCAACTTTACTTAGTTAAAACCATTTTTCTTTAATAAGGACTTAAAAAGGTTTTTATTTAAATTTCATATATCTTCATAAAACCTTTTTAAGTCAAAGGGGTTTTATTCTTCGCGCCAATATACCTAACCTTATTTACTATTGTTAGAGCCAGAGAGTTAAATTAAATAGGTATTTAAGATGGTTTTTAAAATAGTTCAAACTTTTTTTATTATTATTATTGTGAAGATGGACATGTGCTTGTCTATCGTTCTGAGTGAATGGGAATAGCGTGCAATGTTGTTCTGGCCAAAGAATAAAGTTTTGGTCGCAAAAAAAATAGAAACCTCTATTTTCTATAAAAATGTCCACTTCTTGTTTTACAAAAAAAATCGTCTATGAATGTAGACATTTTACAATACGTACGTACGACACTACGACAATCGTGGAACTAATAGTTTATAAATTATAGTTCCAGCTGTTTAAAGACTTATAAGGGTTTTATTCAAATAAAAAAAGTTTTATTAAGTATTTAAAAATTTAAAAGCAAGAGCATTATAAGACAGAGCTTTAATAAGGGTTCCTTAAAAGCAAGATAGTTTTAAAAGTACCTTGCTTAAGCTGACTACAAGAACGCTTTAAAACTAAAAATTAAAGCAATCATAAAACAAAGTTGCTTTTATTTGTCAATCATAAAACAATAATAAAACAATACTGCTTTTAGAAGTATCTTAAGATAATTTAACCTTATTAAGGTTAAACTTAAGTCCAAATAAAGTCATTTTAAAGAGTAAATACTCTTGAAAGCCATAAGGTTTTAAATAGGAGTTCTTTAAGATAGCTATAAAACCTTTATTTTAAGAATATCTTCTCCCAAGTATAATTGGCATTTATGAGAACCTTTTTAAAACTGTTTGCATTATTTCCGCTATAATAAAACCTTTTTAAAACCAATTCAAGTCAATTTTGCATTTAAAATGTTACTTGGGCAATGTGTATTTAAAAGGTGACCTAGTGTCATGGAAATATGTATAGAAAATAGTATATTATGTATCAAGTTTGATAAACGCCATTTAAGTCAGGAACTTAAATTAGGAACGAGCAGGATTGCGAGCGAGTGTTTAATTAAATGAGTGTCTAGAAAAGTTTATAAACGAGTTGCATAATATACTTTATCTATTTTGCGTTCATAATGACTTCTTTGTAACACCGCTTTCGGTGCTGTAATGAGGTACTTTACCCCACCCAATTTTTTTGATTTTAAACGTTGACTACTTTAAACAGCATACTAGTAAAATAATATTTTGCCTATTGTTTATAATATTTTTATGATTTTTCTAGTTTGTACTTTGTTTAGCACCAAGGAAAATCCTTTTTTTCTTCTTTAACATTAACAGCCGCTTATTGTAAATAAGTAAATTAAGGACGCCATGGCGAATCGATTTTGACATTAACCCTTTAAACCAATGACTGTGATACCAACTATCTGTAGATGTTTTATAAAGTAAAATTCGACCAAATTAAATATAAGACCTTATACCTGTATAAAATTATTTTTTTTTTAAATTTTGGCAAAATAGATAAAATAGCATAAAGAACTCATGTCATAAGACCTTTTGTCGCATTCGTCCATTACAAATTGTCTTGACGTCTTATGACATTAGTACATTTTCTACGACAAATACTTAATATTATCTAAAAAATGATTTTAAATTAAATATTTGTATAAAGCGACAACTATACTAAAATAAAGTAACCATCCCAATAAAGATTTTTGACGTAATTGTTACCATTAACATTGCCAGTTATTAATTTTAATTAAACTTAACAATAATTGTTGATAAAATTGATACTTTAAAATATTAAAATAACTTCAAAATATGATTATGTTAAGAAAATATTTTATCATTTGATTTTTTTTATTACTATAATTG